TGACACGTTTATGTTTTATTCTTGAAAATGAACTTTTAAAGTTCGAAACGTTGAAATATTTCGTTTTAATTTAATTATATGTATTTCAATAAAATGGAAACTACTGCTGTTACTTTATTATGCGTACCATCATTTTTTTTCTTTCTTTTGTTGTGGATTTTATCGTTATATTTTCTATCGGTAAAAAGACTTCTATAAATTTGATTTGCACGGAGCCTTAAGCAATCGAGTGCCCTGTATCAAACTAAGCGAAAAAAAACGGTAGGAAAAATGTCTTTGGTTCTCGTGAAATTGCTCCAAAAAGTATTCCACATTTCGAGTATTCCACTGACGTACTTTCTGAAATTTTTAAAAATCTAAGTAGGTCAGAAAATTGAAATAAAAATACTTCTAAGCTTTAAATTTGAATTTTTGATTTAAAAATTTCAATTTCGTTCGTTTTAAAGTTGATATTCCGTAATCAACGCAAAAAAACTACGTCTAGTAAGGTGCTTTTAAGGCTGATTTGAGAGAAAAAATATCGCTCAACTGAGCATGACGGCGTTTTAGCCGTTTATCAAATCCTTGACACTGTCTTTTATTTCAATTTCTTCTTAGACGAGATGATGGCGTAAATGTATGTTTTCTTTTTATTCAGGTGACACTGAAGAAGTCGAATTAGAGTTTTATTTAACAACTCCATTTGCATCTGGTAAACAGATTTAATAAATATTCTTATACAGTGTAACTCTAGTTATATTTTTCTTTATTGTTTAGGTGCCGCATTTGCTGATAGTGTACTCGATTGTATATTAAGTTGTGTAAGTGTATCATAAATAATCAATTGTCCATATTTGATTAGATTTTTTTAATTTTTTTATTTTGCTAGGCTTATTACAATGATAATGCTGTTAATTTACTAAGAAATATATTAACAGGTGGTTTAGATTTACAATTAGAAGAAATATTAGCAGAAGGTGGTGGATTTACACAATGTGAATCATCTGATATTTTAAAGAAACGAAATCGTGCAAGAGTGGCTATTTTAGAGATTCGAGATCTTATACCCGACATTGATACAAGAGTAGGTTGATAAAATTTTTCTAATTATTCTAGATAAATCATTATGTATATTTTTTATTCTATTTATTTGATTTAGCAACATCCAGTAACATTTAGTACACTATTTTGTGAATCAATTCAACGTTATAATATTATTTGTATGGGTATTTATACATTAATGGATGTTTTACTCCGAAAAGAACCAAATATGAATTCTACAAATAAAAAACATCAAGAACAAATTCATTATACTGGACATAAACGAATTGTTATTTGCTATCCTCCATATAATTATCATATTGATCCATCCGATATGGTAAGTTAGCGAAGATAGTATTCATTGTTTATCAGTATAATTTGCACAATAATGTTTATGTTTAAATATTGATAAAAATCAGAATTTAGAATATTTCATAAAATTATATTACTTACACTGGAGTGTTTTAAATCATTCTAACGGATGGTCGTCCATAGAGAAAATGAATCACTTTTCTTTTCTGAGAGAATAAAACAATGTTTTAAGACTCCATTCGAGAATTTTCTAATTTACAAAATCTTGTGCGTACGATGTAAACACACTGATCCTGTGTCTGATAAAAGAGCCTTGAGTAGGAAGATGAAAAGTAAAAGTGCGACACAAATAAAAGGTTGCATTCATAAAAGAATCATGTTAAAGAACACATTTTTGTCAAATTTTGTTATCTACATTAGATGATACGGTTATATATATTTAAAAGTTTTTTTATCTACATACCACACGGTTTCACGAGTTCATTCCAACGTCAGACGATAGAGAATTTTCTGCTCTATACAATTCATTCTGTGACACATTCAGCAGTCACCTTTTAGCTCATAAAATGTCTGTGTTTGCTTTTCCGAAAATGTGTTTTTTTTTAAGAAAACGCTAAATGATTTGTTCCATAAAACGTTTTGTATCAATATGAGAAAACAGTCTGACATAAGAGATAGATTTGAATCTGCTGAACATTTTTATAGCGTCGTTTTTGCTCAATTTCGATATCATTCTCGACAAAAATTACTAAACGGTCGAAAAAAAAAATCGAAATTTGGACCGTAAATCGGAGTTTTACGTTTCATCTGCTCTTCTACTAGACGCTATTTTATCAAATACAGGATCAGTATGTTGATAACACATGTACAAAGTTTTGTAGAGGAGAAAATTCAGTTTAGAATAGGATCTTAAAATTTTGTTTTAGTCCCTTATTCTTTATTTAGTCGGCTCATTCTTTATCGGCCACTGGTTATTTTTTTGTCTTCAGATAAAAATGAGTTGTATTGAACATTTTCAAACGCATTTCATTTGGTTTTGTTTTCATTTTAGATTTATGTGATGCAACATTCACATCCTATTGATTCATATTCTCGAACGAATTCGTTGGCAAAAAACTGACATTTATTCTACGCATTCTTTTTCTTTTTTGTTTTTGGTCAAATAATTTTATTAATCAAGGTCTCAAACAAAAAACAAATACAGGATTTTTTGCTCAAACTTACACGACATCTTTTTGACAGTGACTCATGTTCCATTTTAATAAATATATTTATTTATTTTCTCAATATTATAGCAATTTTTTTGAAATTCTTTTAGATTTTGTATAAGTGTGTTCTTACTGTCGTTCTTTTTTTTTTTGTATAAATATCGATAGAACAACGATGTAATAGTTTTAATAAAGTAGATGTATTAGAATGAGATTTTTGCAATGCAGCACAATATAACTATTGTTCTATATAACCAGAGACTGCGTAGTTAAAACTCACGGCATCAGTGTTTTATCGAACTATTCCTCAGTTTTAGTAACGAGATTTGGTGAAAAATTCATGCATCGAGTGGAAACGATATATAGCAGTATTAATGGCCCAAGTATTGAATCTTCCATGTTTCATTCATTTTTCGAACATGCGATTTCGTGTCAGTTCTATGACACGACTAACGATTCCGATATCATCCTTAGATGGAAAAAAAGTAATTAAGAGATCGGGGGATTCTTATTTTGAAGAGGACACTTGGGGCTATCTACTCGTATAAAAACTGAATATGTTCCTCTCTGAATTTTTGAAGACCAAGAGAGATTTTCTAGGAAACTCTTGAAAACTCTGTTTTTGAAATAGATTTTTTTTCTGTCATGGAAAGATGCGTCACTGTTTTGGCTTTCGAATGGCGCAGTGCTCTAGCTATCGTAATCGAAAGTTATTTAAAAAGTGGCCAATTCTTCATTTGAAAAGGATAAATTGAAATGTTAATGTTAAAGTGTTCGTTCTAAGTCTAAAAGATTGACAATTTTCTGCTGTGCAATTCTTCTATATTCGATATTCAAACGCTGATTCCTTATTTGAGAAAGTAGCAAGAGTAATGTCTTTGAATGATTGTTATTTTTAATACAAAATAGTAGATGTTGCAGAAATAAAGATGAATGACAATCGGTAATGTCATTTATCGGTACTGGAGTGATAATAAATATGTTTCGATAAAGTTTCTCGTTTTACCGATTTTTTATTGTGTAAAATGAGGCCGAAAAGTTTTAAAAGAAAATTTTTTTGCGTTCGAGCTTTTCAACACGTCTTCTTTCGAACGAAAATGGATGGTAAATTATTTTTCTTGAGTAGAAAATCTTCCATCGTTACATATGGCAAATTATCAGCACCGTTACGTTGCAGAAGAGATCGATTATCTCAAGCCATTTTTAGCGTTAAGCAGTGTAGTTTTAGATATGTCTGTCAGCCTTTCTGATGATGAAAACAATGATATCGAAGATTGTCAAACATTTCAACGTGTAATTCGCCATATTTCAACGTTACAACCTCGAGTACCTGTGCTACTACTTCGTCATCCTCCTGTGAAAACAAGTGCTGAAGCAGCAAGTTTAAGACAAGTTTCATTAGCAAGTGGAGCAAAAGCGATGCTTATGTTTGATAAAGGATCCAATTCTTACTTTTTAATTGTATTGCCAGCGAATTTATCTGTTGATATGAAAAAATTAGCAACGGTCATTGGATCACCAAGATCAAATATTCGAATGGCAAACGAAAACGATGTCAAAAAAATTACAGGATGTAAACCAGGTAAGACGAAAAACTTTTAGTTGAAGTATAGAACACTTTCTCGGCTTGTTTATCCTAGGTGCTGTACCACCATTTGGTAATTGCTTTCTTGTAAAAGTCGAAACATTAATTGATGAAAAAATGAAAATATCTGCATCATCACCACCACCGCAACCATTACAAGATTCAGTGAAGTTATTTTCAACTAAAAATGATTCTGAATGGCCAGTTGATATTACCGAATTGGATTCTCTCAGTCAGACTGAAAATGAAAATTTTATTAATTTTAATATTGGATTAAGAACAGTATCTTGTTGTCTACAGTATAATGATTATTTAAGAGTTATTGGAAACGATAATTATCGAATAGTTGATGTTTCCAAATGAAATTTATTGCTTTCGAAAGTTTTTTTCAAAGACTTCTCTAGAAAATTAAACTACTAGTATTTTGCATAAACAAATTTCTATTTGTTCATTTTAAGTTACTTTTCCCTCTATGAGTGTCAAGTATCATCAGATGAAATGATGAATGAATAACAAATTTCTATTTGTTCATTTTAAGTTACTTTTCCCTCTACGAGTGTCAAGTATCATCGGATGAAATGATGAATGAATAAGTGAACGTATTTTTGTGTAATGTTGAAATATAATCAAAAGTTTTCCGTTTCTTTGTGATACTTATGTGGTACCAGCATTCAAGACATTGCTCTTTTCATATTCTAAAGTCAATTAATTTTTAGAACATGAATGAAAACAATTCAAATGTTTATACTGAGTAAAAGCAAGCTTTGTTGCTGATTAAAGTAATTAAGCTGACTAATCTAATACATCTTAAATACCTTAGCTTTTGGATAATGAATTCGTGAGAAATAGTGCTGACAACAATTGTTGATCTTATATGATACTTTCCTTACGTTTATCAGCTACCTTAAAGGGTGGCCCAGAAGTCCTGACTCGATTTGTATAATAATTTTTCTAAAGTAAAACACATGTTTGTAAATTTCTCTCTATGATGAAAAGACGCAGTAAAACACGCTCTACAAAATGGCTTTTGATTGACTCCGCTAGCTCATTATAGTAAGAAAGTTATAGACTTAGAAAATGTGTTTCACAAAAAAGAAAAATTCCAACCATGAACTCTCTTCGTATGGTGGTCTTTCAGTGAAAGTCTCGTAACTCCATCAAAACAAAAGATTTTTAGATCGGGTTTGTTCTGTTTTGATCAGAAATGATTGCTCTTCTCTACCCAACTGCAAAATCAAACTTCGATCACGTTTTCTATTTCTTGTTTGGGCACATTGTCGAAAACGGAGGTTTTCAATTTTTAAAACTTCATTCTCGAGTACACCATCTACTATGAGAGACATTTTTTACAGACCACGAGAAAGAGTGCATTCGAAAGTAGCAAACATAAACTGGGTTCTCACTTTTGCTAAGCTTTTTTACGGAAATAATAGGAGAAGAAAAAGTTTGAGTCGAAAAAAATACTGAATTTACAAAGTTTTCATTTTTCCGCCTCGCGTATAATTTGCTTAGTTTTCTTGACTGAAGTTCTGAAATTAAAGTTTAGATATGATTTTGTAGAGCATTGCATGGCGCTTCTATTAAAAAAAATAATTTGTTCTAGAGGACCTAAGAAACAGGAGTTCAAGCAAAAATACCGAGATCGGGTTTACCGTTAGGTTTTCTTTTTTGTGAAGCAC